TGTTCATTTACTTGTTTCTGGTCACTTTTCCCTAATAGAGTATAATCTCTAAGAGGGAGGAACCATATCAGTTTGCTCTCCGCATATACTCCAAGCTCAGCACAGTGCCTGGCGTCGAGAAGGGACTCAATACATACTGTGTTCAGTTGCAGCTCCCCTGCTTACTAGCTACATACTTGGCTGGGTGCTTAACCTCTCTGAGACTCCATTTGCTCGTCTGTAAAATGAGAGTAATAATTCCTACATCTACAAGTTGTGAAGTTTGAATGAGATGATAATGTATGCAAAAAAACCCTTTGAAAACTGTAGAGCACACTCTAGCCACGTGCTGAATTATTTATTCTCCTACTGAGGGTTAAAAAGGAAGTGTAGTCATGCCGCCCCTGGCTCTGACAACTGCCAGGTGCTTTCAAGGCTTTTCAGTGAAGTGTGGGCTTCAGACAAATGGGAAATCTAATAGACCGCTCTCTGCAGTTGGCTGCAGTTCCAGCCAGCACAGATATGATTATAGTTAGAGTTTCAAGAGTTCTGTTTCATTTCAAAAGGATTCTGTGGGACAGTCTGCAGTCTATCCGAGGTATGTGTCCAGAAGCAGAACTCTGTGGCAGGTGTTTTCATTCAGGCCCATTCTCTTCTTTTCCTGCAATATCGGGAGTGTCTGTTTCTATTATACTCCTTATTTTCAGAGGCCAGGTGAGAAGAGATTTACCATATGTGAGATTTCAAATGGTGACTACTGAGCAAAACGCATAGTTCTCGCCCACTCTTATCACTTCCTAAACGAACAGTAGCTTGGACAAACTCACTTTAGCAGAGCCAGGCTTTTATTAGCAGCCAGAGAATAGTCTGTAATGGGAGGAATTACTCTGCCCATGCATCTCTCCCAGAGAATATATTCTTTAGCCCGTCAAGACAGTGAAACCTCTTATGAGAAACTGTAGCAAAGTCAATTTCTCTATTCCTGCGGCTGCAGGATTCAGGACACACCTCGCTGCAGACCCTAAATTAGCAATCCAACTGGAAGGGGAGTTGAGCCCACTGGAAATGGGCGGAGATGTGCAACGGAACAGGACTCAAATCAAAGCTGAGCCCAACCTGGATGTTTCCACATTTCAAACCCCATTATCTGCTTTTCTGCAGGGTCCTTTTCATATAGCAACTCTTTTCCAGGCAGAGTAACGATAGCGACAAGAATCAATCATCCAATCTGCAGCGGCAGCTGACTTTTTTGGGATCCTTTTTATTTATCTAATGATTTCCAATTTTAGCCAGCAGTACTAAGGAACCATAAAAGTCTTAAGAGCCCTTGATGGGATTCCTCTGAATAAACTTCAGAAGAAAAGCCCATATCCATAAGTACAAAGAAGCAGGTTGGTCTCAAGCAACCCAATTCTCTTTGCATTCATCCTTCCAAGCTATGGATTAAAACAAATACACACATGTGCTGGAGTTGAATTTTTCAGGAAAAGGAAATAGTGTGCAAGGTTTCAATCACTGGGGTCACCCAGAATGGAGCATCCTCAAGAAAAAAGTCCCAAGAAGGGTTCCCTTATGCCCCATGTTCATTCAATATTCCTGCTATGCTGAACCAAATGTGGATTTCCAATTCTTGCATCTCATCAAGCGTATTATGCCATTGATTCTATGAAACTATTAAGGTACCAGTAAGAAAGGAAATTTGACGCTAATTAAATTGTGAACAATACGGAGAAATATACCATGTTCTTTCAGGCCAACAAGTCTTGCTCCTCTCCTAGGAATGCCTTTTCTCCTGCTTGCTCTACCTTAAAGTCTCTTCAAAGTCACATCTCACCTAGCATTTTCCATCCAGTTTATGTAAATTTGGGAACTATACTGTGAGCTCCCTATGGACAGGGATCCTATTCTATACATCTGGGTCCCATCAAAGCCTAGCACCATCTCTTGCCAAGAACAGCTGCTCAGTAACTCTTGGTTGAATGCATGCTTCCTTTGTTAAAGCCAGTCTTGGAAGACTCCTCTGACATGCAGGCAATCTGTATGTAGCATTTGCCTCCGTGAGGAAGAAAAAAGAACAAGTGGCAGAATTTCTCTAGCTACACATCTAGCCTTCCACACGTTTTTTCATGCATGTCTCCATGAAGAGGCAGTCTCATTCTCCACAGGATTAGAAGAGATTTCGCATGAGTGTTTTCTCTCGCTCATCCATCCAGTGAATGTGTGCTGAGCTCACGTACCAAGAGTGGTGCTAGGCCTGGAGTGGAAGAATAAGTCATTGACTTTGCCCTCAAGGAGGATGATGTCTGGGGTGAGGAAGTCAAGCAACATTTAATAACAGTCCTAGGTGATAAGTATGAAGGACTGGGGCAAAGTAGAGGAGAGGGCCCTGAATTCTGATTGGGGAAAGAAGGTGAAGTGTCACTGGAGTTTGAGGATCTTGAACAATTCGGAAGAGCTAAGCAGACAAAGGAGGGGAGGGTAAAAAATAGCACACAGAAAAAAATAAAGCCTGTCAGGGTTGGGGGAGGTGGAGATAAAATGAGTTCACTACAGAGTATAGAGCTCTTCTGAGGGGAGTAATATGTGCTTATTTCTGGTCCCTCCAAATCTTTGGTGTCTCAAAGACTGGTCACTTAGGGGAAACTGAGGCAGCACGACAATCCACAACTGTCCTTGTGTGCTCCTTCATCACTTTATCCGAACAAGAAAATGCCGTCAGGTCTATAGTCACCTCACGGTACTCTCTGACCTTATTCCTTTAGCAGGTATTTATCCCATCCCACGATGTGTCTGGAACTATTCACGGCATATCCTAAATGTTCCTATTACACCTCAATCACTGAAATCACCCAGGCTATTTCTCACTTGCTTCTTTTCTTTGAAGGTGCCTGTTGAAAATGTTCTGAATAAATGAAAACTGCGTTAAGCCAGGTTCTGGAGTAACCACAGTTTTCCACAATTTTTGAGAAGCCATGTAAAATCGTAAGAGCAACAGGCTAGGTCTCAAGCATAAATCTGTAGCGGAATCTCCTCTGCTTGGTATCTGTGCCAGATCTCCTAATTTTATTTCCAAAGCCCCACACCCACCATACTTCAAATCCACTCTGGATGCCAAATGCTGCAGCTGGTTGATAAGATGCTGTATGAAGTGATTACTATGCAAGATGGCAACGCAGTCTCCACCACATTCTTCTTTGATCATGAGCTGCATGTTGTGACCATTTGATAAAAACAATTATAAAAATTTATTTAGTTCCACCTAACTCAATAAGTGATTAACAGAGACATAAATCAAAGTGTAAAAGTATATTATAAATGTTGAAAATATTCACATATACTAAATATATTTTATACATTTAAAATAAAAGTAAAATTGGTTTATTTCTGGGTTATTTGAGTGATGTTTATCTTTTTTATTCTGTCCTATACTTTTAAAACTTTCTAAAATGAGATTGAATTGCATTATAATTTTGAAAAGTTATTTTTAAAATAAAACATATAAGAAAATTATTTTTAGACCATAAAGTGCCAATAAGTATCAGCTACTAAATTCATCGCAATGTAATAAAACCCTCAATACATGGATTAGGTTAAAAGTACATCTAATCAACTTTGATCGTTGATGCTGATAAATGCCCCAGCAGTAAGACCGTGGTTATCAGGATCGCACTGTCTCGGATTTGGTGAGCCCAGCTTTATCTGAGGGTGCAGAACAATCAAGCCCCAAACCTCATCAGATGTTGCAGTGTCTAGAAAGATAGAAGTCTCTTGTTCTTAGTTGGCAATCTCACATTTTACAGAAGGTTTCATTTCTTTCTGTCTAGAAATGCCCCATTGTACTATTCACATCTGTTGTCAGCCGCCTTTTCTCAAGAAGTCCTGGTGGGGATTTGGTTTTAATGACACTGCGTGTGTATTTGGGTTCCCAGTCCCTTGAGCTGATGGATAGTAGTGAGCTTGCTGCTGGGCCAGGTACCATGGAACTTCTTCATTTCGATGAGAGCCTTCTTTTGCCTCCTCAGAAACCAACGTCTGCAAATAAGTACCGCTCCTCTTATCTCAAAGAGGCCTAGCAATTTCCTCTCAGAGACCTAATGATCTTTGACCAACCAATCCCTTGTGTGTAGAAGAAAGAGTCCCCTCCCTTTAGAAAAAGGAAGTTTAGGCTTCCCCAGCAGTTCAGGAGACCAAGGCTGGTGATAGAACCTTCTGGGGGTGTCAGCTTGGTAGTTCTAGGCCTTCACACTTACCATATATTAAGGTAGCTGAAGGAATATATTCCTAACTTGATCCAAGTTTCCTTCTAGACACTAATTATATTGGTACAAGCTTTCAAGCAGTGCGCTTTGTAACTGGGAGGTAAAATAATATTTTACAATAGTGTTATGATTTCAAAGCACGTTCAGTTGCACTGTTATCTCATTTAATCATCACAGCAGCCCTATGGGAAAAGTATCATTACATACTTTGCAGTAAGGAAACCAAGGCTTAGAAAGGCTGGGTGGCGAGTCTAAGGTTCAAGGGCAGGACTCAATTCCAGTTCTTCTGACTCCAAACTCTGAGTAATTTCCACCACTTTTCTAAAATTTAAAATCTGCCCCCAGGTTGCAGGCTGAGAACACACAGGAGGGGAATGATCCTATTCATAATAAAGGCGACCACTGCAGAAGGATGGAAAGGGGAGAGGAAAGAAGCCAAAATCTATTGAGCTTCTGCTCTGTGGGGGCTGTTTCCTTGCACTATCTCCTTGACATCTCATCTCTTTCTCCCATGTGATAGACAAAAAACAGAAACAAAGCATGACTCAACTACTTCCCCAATGTCATGTAGCTTACAAGTGGCAAAACTGGACTGAAAACCAGTACTTCTGACCCCCAAACCCATGATCTTCTCATCATGTTTCACACTTCACTACAACTCACAGTGCATTTGTGAAGATGGTAGATTTTAAAAGGCAAATGGCAAATAAAAGTTCCCTGTTCTGCGTGAACTTGCTGACATCTTCTTCTTCTCCCTCGCAGGGTGTGTGCTGGTGGTCTCTGTGATTGAACAGCTTGCCCAGGTTCACAACTCTACGGTCCAGGCCTCCATGGAGAGACTGTGCAGCTACCTGCCTGGTAAATACAGAAAGGGTCACGTGGCTGTGGGTCTGCTTTCTTTCTCACTCATGAGTCATCATGACTGAGTTTATATCCCTCCTACACACGCTCATGAAAGACAATATGATTATATTATTTCTGTGAGTTGAATTCTTATGGGGCTCATAGAAATTAAAACAAACATACAAAAAACCACTCTAGGCAGTTTTTTTATCTGACATTTATTTCCTGTCATGGCATAATGAGATTGCTTAAGACATTTAGGGGACAAAATTTTGAGTGGCCAATTGTTGTTTTATGTGTTACATTTATAATTATTTTCCCACTTGGTAATCATTTCCTTAAATACCAAGAAGGTCAAAATAATGAATAACAAATAATTTTCAAAGATTTATGTTAGTTTGACCCCCTATACATACCCAGTTAGGGTTCGGATTAAGGTTAGGGTTAGGTTGGGTTAGCCCTACCAACACAGAGCTATAGGCTGAGAAACAACTAATCTCAAAACCCCAAATGGGAAAACAATCTGGGAACATTCCATTGACTTGAACTAGATCTCAGTAAAATCCCTTACAAATCCCGCAAAAGAGGGAACTGATTGGTGGTTTAAACAAGTTGTATATTTGTTTTTCAAGCTCAGCAGAAAGAAAATATTGATTCTATTTCCCTTATAGAATACTGTTAGGTGAACAGTCACAATGAATTAACTCCTTTTAGAGTTGAATTCTCATTCACTTAATGTTAAGGAACTAATTCATCAAGGATGCCTACATTATTGTTTCTAAGTTAGGTAGTTGGACTAATGGCAATTGTATCTTTGATTTATATGGCATGCTATACCAATAGCACCAAAACATTTCGGATAATTTATTCCATGCAGTCACAATGTGCATTCACAAGCTAATTTTTTTAGAATTCAAAAATAAAGACTAGGAGACACAAACACGTGTGTTCACAAAGTCCCAGATTAACCATTGCTAAGATTTTGATATATTTACATCATATTTCTTTTGTGGAATTAGAACTTGGCAGATAAACTTGAAATACCCTTTGGCATCCCTCTGCCCCCAGTTCCATTCTCCTCCCACCTCCCTGGAGGGAAACACTCGTGCGAACTTGATGGGTATTGTTCTTGCCAAATTTTATACTTTCACATTCACTTGTATGAATCCATAGACAATGTACAGTATTGTTCTTTGGGTGATTTTTTAAATCTTGATAAAACAAAACAAATGTAGAAAACTACACAGGATAAATGTGTAGCTTTAACACCCTTGTAAGCATAGCCCAGGTGAAGAAGGAACAGATAGGTAGCCACTCCAAAAGCCCCAGAGACATGCCTCATCCCATCATAAATTCTCCCTTCCCTCTGAAAGAACAACATTTCGAGTTTTACCATAATCATTTCCTTGCATTGCTTTATAGGTTTATCATCCAATGACCATCCCTAGATGCCGTAGTCTTGCCCGGTTTTAAAATTTTTGATGTGCCTTTTAAGTCTATTTTAATCTACAAGTTTCCTTTCCATCCCTTTCTCTTTTTTTCTCCATCTCTTCCTTTTCCTCATAATTTAACTGTGGAATTTGCCCTGTAGAGTTTCTCATAGTCTGAATCTTACTGATGGCATCCTTGTGGTATAATTCAATATGTTTCTCTGTACTCTGTATTTCCAAAAACTTGGCAGCTGGATCCAGAGGCTTGATCACATTCCAGTTTGAGTGGTGGTGTTTTCTTTCATCAGGAGACCATCATAAGCAGTTTTCTCTTTTTTCTTTTTATGATATTAGCAGCTGTTGATGCTCAATGTCCAGACCTATTAGTTCATAGGAAGTTGCAAAATGGTGCTGTTCTAATCTATCATTTATATTTCATTTAGTAGTTGAAATATACTAGAGACAGTTTCCTCTCATCATCATCATACTTTAGGAACATTTTGCCCAGAGTTCCTATGTTCATACTAGAAAGAAACAGGGTAAATGCTTGATTCTTTTGCTTTTCTTACCAGTTCTCAAATGATTCATTACTTTCTATTATCATCCCAAAGTAGTCAGTTAGTTTTCTTTAAAATATCAAAATAAACTCATAAATTTATACATATTTGATGAGTTTCAGTCTATTTCAGTTATCTTTTTGAAGCTTAAATTGTCTCATCTTTGACCAGTGGGAACTTCTTCGGGTTGGCTCCTGAGTCCTTTTGACATAAGCCTAAGTAACCTTTGATAGCTTTCTCACTAACTGGTATGACAGGGTGTTCCAACCCTGTCTTGTACATTTCTAACCCCAGCCTTGAAATCAGTTATTTCTCTTAGACGCTCTGGTTTCCATTAGTGGGAAATATTATTTTAAGATCACAATCTGGGTGCGTAGGAATGCTCGTTGCTCCTGAGTTGGTCATTCTTTCTAGGTCTCTTCAGTGGACAGTGATAGAAAATATACATATATACATTTACGTGTATAATTTTAAGATAAAATAACCAATGCGTTCATACTGAAGCTTCAAATTCAAATCCAAGACTACAGGACTTTTCTCTTAAGCTCTTCTGTCTCACATCTGTGTCTCCTTTCCACACACAAAGTCCTAATTCTCAAGGACAAAGGCATTGATATAATTAAAATATCCCATAATTACTCATCCCATAATTACCTATCCCTCAATACACATATAACAGCCTCAGAATGTCAATCCTAATACTACTACCATCAATATATTTTATAATCAGTGAAAGCAGTTAAAATTGTTTTTTGGATATGCTCTTCCTATTTCTCCACCCTTTTGAATCATTAAACTGTAGTATCTGAGCATATAGCCATACGTGCAATACCCACTCCCTTTTCCCTTCATTTAGTCTTAGTCCCATCCGCAACTACATTGGTGTTCACCACCAGCCCTTAGGCAGATGTCTATCTAGTCAAGTTGTTGTCTAAAGTTCATTCCTCAGGAAGGGCTCATGGGAACAATATTCCCTGAATTCTTTCCTGTTGATAACAAGGTGACTGTGCCCTTTATACTTGAAAGTCAGTGTTCTTCTGAATATAAAAATCCTTGGCCCACAATTTCTTTCCCTAAGTATCTTAAATATGTTATTTAAAAGTCTAATGAAAATCTAATTTTCTTTTTCTTATAAATCACTTGCTGTTTTTGCCTAGAAGTTCAAAGGATTTTATCTCGTTCTTCTATAAAATGTAGTCATCTAACTAGAATATGTCTTGGTGTTAGTCATTGTGTGTTGATGTTCTCAGGCTTGCAGTGTGCTCTCTCAATATGTGGTTTCAAATACATTTTTTATAATTTCAGGGAAGTTTTTAGTATTTATTCAGTTGCCTTGATTTGGTGCTCTGCTTCAGGGATTTCTATTATCCATATTTTGAATCTTCTTTGCCTCTCTTTGATATTTTGCCTGTCTCTTGAATACTTTTTATCTCTTCATTTATTTTTTATCTTGAAAGTTTTGCTTTTTCACCTTCTGTTTCTCTTAAGATACCAGCTATTGCATTCACTCCTTCTTGTGTTCATTCTTGTTTAGACTTCATTTCTTTTATAATCTTGTGTTCTTTCCTGAGTTCTTTTGTTCTGTGTCTGAATTTTTCTAATTCTGATTTCTGTTATTCTTTCATGTCTTATGTCATTTTATTAATGCTTCTTAGCTCATTTTGAAATACTCTGTTATGTTTTAATCCTTTTTTTGGCATGACTTTCTGGCATGCTTTTGCTATCTGTAGGGATGTGATTCTGTTCCATATGCTTTTTTTTCCCTTATAATAACTTTGTATGGAGTTGACCTAGATACATTTCTGTTGCTCATTTTTATGTGAAATTAGTTTTCCGAAACTCTTAGAAAGAGAATTGGTTCAGAGTAGCTTTTCTAAATGCACAGAACTCCTTCTTTCATTGTTTTTGTATAGTATCAAACACACACGCGCGCGCGCACGCACACACACACAGCAGCTTGCTAATCGTCTCTGCTCCCCCACCCACTTCTATCTAGATTTTCTCTTTACTTTGCTTCTATCTAGCTCAATTTGACTCCAAATTCAGCAGTTTCTCCTCAATATGGGCCCTGTCCTAGAAGGGAGCTCTGGTAGGTCACTTTCTAGAATTTGTAGATGCCTGACCACTCTAGCCCCTTAGTCCTTCTACTCTTGAGCCCTTTGCATTCATCTGCTATTACAATGGGCAAAACCCCTCCCAGTCTCAGCTGCTCTTCTTTAATTGGCCCACCATGCTTTCTAGTCAATACCTATGGGCTATTTGGGGATTCTCCTGTTCTCAGGGATATATGACATCCTATTGCTTCCCTTTCTTTCTCCCACACAGATGTTAATAAACCACAAGTCTTGTGGCTATGAGTGGTTCATCCTTGCCTAATTGTATTTTGGGGTTCTTAGAGATACTTAGTTTTGTTGTAACTATTGTCCATGGGTTTTTAGTTTTCCTATCCAGGAGGGGTTTTTTTCCCCCTCCTTGGTAGAGATTCAAAGAAATTCCAAAACTCAGCTTCCTCTACCATCACCTTTCCAGAATCCCTCTTGTAGGGACTTTAATGTCAATGTCTACATACGTATTGCTCTGCAACTTCTGTTTTTCTCTCTCTGTTTTGTTTTTGAGATCTATACACGTTAAGACATATAGACCTAGGTCAAGCTTCTTAATTACTCTATAGTTCTTCACCATATAAATGTGCCATATTTTATTTATCCATCCCCCTATTATTGGACATTCGCAACCTATTATAAACTTTACTTTATATTTTCAAATCTCTGAATTAGAGAAAAAAGAAGAAAATATTATTACCTTTTCATAAAAAGGAAAAAACTTTAAAAGTCATAATTATCATTAAGACCTGTTTTGATTGGTGTCATTTCTGTGTAATAGACCACACTGATAGATATCACCATTTGTACTTTGAATTTATCTCGTTTTAGGCAAAGTTATGTTGTTCAAAGATGAAAGGCTGAGCAAACATCTTATTTCCTAGATTATCGTCTCCTAACATACTAACAAAATGTAAAACAACATGAACCAGCATTGCTGGTATTCAAGGTACCATCTTGGCTCCTTCTGACTCGTAAAAGGAACCTTTCAGAGTCTGCTGACATAAAATAAGGGGCTGAAAGTCAGATTCTGGTAAAATAGAAGTTGACACTTCACCAAGGGACGCAAAGTAGGTATTTCAGTTTTCACTGGTAGGTTACCTTTCATTTGGAAGAATTTGAAAGGATTAAGGAGGCTCTTTGGGCTTATTTTCATTTTATTGATTAATGTTTTACCTCTGGATGGAATTACGGCACTCAGTTCACATTAAAGTCTCTCTCACGGACAGACACAAAAGAAGAGTGGGCATTACTGTTTCCATTTTATGGGTGTGTAAGACAGTGCACAGAATGGTCATCAAAATCGTATGAGATGACAAAGAGAGTTTGTCTCCTAGCTGAGGATTTCTTCTTCCAGAAAACACAATAGGTCTGGCCGTAGTGACTACTTCTGCTGGTGAGCCAGAAGAATGGGGAACAAAGGAAGTGAAGTTATTCGCATCAATTATTACTTTTAAAATTGTTTTTAAGTAGTACTGCTTTTACCTCCAAAGCTAAACAAGTACAGAAAACATAACCTTAGCAGAGAAAGCTTATAAACAACGTTTTTGAGAATACTCACTCAGTAAATCATTCTGGCCTTTCCTGTGCCTGGGAACACAATTTTTTTCAAATCGTGCAAAGCATTTCTGACCTTCAGTTTCACCTACTGCTTTTGCCTCTGGCTCTCATTAGTAAACACCTTGGAAGAATCTCAGAATTGTTAATGGAAAAATGATTAATGGAATCATTCTCACTAGGGGTCAGCAGACTCATATGCCCTGAGAGTCTTGCTAGAACTTTACTTTCTTGGGTCACCCATGCAGAAGTCTTATCTTCATTGAATATGATAGTTAAAAACTAACGTAGACTTAAAATGAAAAGAGCAGGTCTCTTCAGGTTCTGCAGTTTCTGAAAATCTACATGCAGCCTAGAATATATAGGCGCAAAACTAACTCTATGGTCAATTCGTCTCACTGTGCTTCAAATTTCTCATCAGCAATTAGTATATAACAGTATCCACCATATCTGAGGGAGACGAGGCATCAAATAAAATGTCCTGAGTACATTGAAATGCATGCTACAAATAACGTGGACCTTTGGAGTGAGAGATTTCAACCTCTTACTGAACCACTTACTGTATCTGTGATCTTGGGCAAGAATAATCTCTCTAAACCTCACTGTTTCTCCCTGTAGAACGCGGGTGAAAACAACCACTCCCTCAAAGGGTTTTTATGAGAGAAGAAGTGATGGCAAACATGAAGGTGACTTACAACGTGGAATGTTCTAGATTTTATTTACACACTCATAGGGATAAACTTTATTTTTTTTTTACCCTCCTTTGCCCTTGGGAATGCCCTTACTTCTTTTTCTTATGCTGTTCCAAGTCCTTCTGACTCTGTAGAAATTAAATGCTCTTGTATCTTCCTCATCACAGGCACAGTTTAGCTCTGTAAGTCTTACATCAGATAGCTTACTAGCAACACGTTAGCGCCAATCTTTTCTTAAGTTGTATAAATGACAGTCAGATTGCCATCTGATCCTGGCTTCCTTTTTTCCAGAGACTTTGCATATCTCTGCTCTGCACCCTTCTGGATGCATCTAGAATTTAGCCCTCAGAGGGCCTCTCATGTCGCTCATTAGCAGTTGCTCCAGGAGTCTCTCACTTGGCCATCACAAAATCGTTTGAGGAAACTGACAGTTCAGAAGGTCCTGCCCAGAGGTTGAGGAGAACTCTGTGGCCATTCACTTTGACTTTAGCAAAACGAGGTTCTAAAGTGATACAGACACACATACAAACCTCTCTTATTTTACCAGAAAGAAGACGAATTTTCTCTGCCTTTCAGGCAATACTACAAGTTTCTCAAGGAACACCCTAATGTTGGTTTTTAAATTGCTCTGCCTTGGCTAAACTAGCTCTACGTTAGTGATACTTGAATTTCGCTTCCCAAGTGCTTTGCAAGTTCACGTAATTTTGAATGTCGGCTACATAATTCTCCAAACTTCCAAGACCGTGTAGTGAAGGAGACTGAATCCTATTCCTACATTTTTCAGATGAGGAAATTGAAATGCAGAGAGGAGAAGGAACCCGAGTGAGGTCAGAGGCTAGTCAACTGGTCCTGAAACTCAGGTCTCTGAGTCCTATAAGCTCAGAGCTTCTTGAGGCTCTCCACTGCAGTGCACCTAAAAAGGAGCACCCAGGGGGAAAAGGGTATTCTTTGTTTTGTTTTGTAACAGTTGTATTAGGGCATAATTCACATACCATACAATTTACCCATTTAAAATGTATAATTCACATTTTAGTATATTCACAGAGTTGTGCATCCATCACCACAATCAATTTTAGAACATTTTCATTATACCAAAAGGGAACTCTGCATCCCTTAGCTGTCATCCCCCAAACATTCATCCTCCCCAGCCCTAAGCAACCACCAATCTACTTTCTGTCTCTGTGAATGTGACTATTCTAGGCATTTCACATAACTGGAATTATACGATTTGTGGTCTTTTATGACTGTTTCTTTCTTTTAGCATAATGTTTATAATGCTCATCCTTGTCGTAGCATGTATCAGAACTTCATTACTCTTTATGGCTGAATAATGTTCCATTGTGTGGATATACCTCACTTCGTTCATCCATTCATTAATTAACGGATATTTGGGTTAACTTGTTTCTGCTTCTTGGCTATTTTGAATAGTTCTGCTATGAATATTTGTGTACAACTTTTATGTGGGCATATATTTTTTATTCTCTTGAGTATATACATAGGAGGTAATTGTTGAAGCATATAGTAACTCTATGTTTAACCATTTGAGGAACTGTCAGACTGTTTACCAAAGTGGCTGCACCATTTTATATTCCCACCAGCAGTGTACGAGGGTTCTAATTTCTCCATATCCTCGCCAATACTTGTTATTATCAGTCATTTTTTATAGCGTATCATAGTGAGGTGAAGTGGAGTCTCATTGTGGTTTTCATTTGCATTTCCTTAATAGCTAATGATGTTGAGCATCTTTTCATGCGTTTTTTGGCCATTCATATATCTTCTTTGGAGAGTACCTATTCAGACACTTTCTTTAAATGTTTGGTACAATTCACCAGTGAAGCCATCTGGCCCTGGGCTTTTCTTTGTGGGAAGTTTTCAATTATCAATTCAATCTCTGGTTATATGTCTATTCAGATCATCTATTTATTCTTAAGTCAGTTTTGGCAATTTGTCTTTCTAGGAATTTGTCCATTTTATCTAAGTTATCTAATGTGCTGCCATGCGGATATTCCTAAGATTCCCTCAGAGTTCTTTTTATTTCAGTAAGGTGAATACTAATGTGGGGATACAGTTTTAAGTTCCTACTTCAAAAGCACGTGTTTGAAGTCTCATACTTTACTGTAAAAAAAGTCCTATGAACCACCCAGCCATAACAAAAGACAAAATTGTGCCATTTGCAACAATATGGATGGATCTTGAGGATATTATGCTAAGCAAAATAAGTTAGAGAAGGACCAATACCGTATGATTTCACTCATATGTGGAAGATAAACAAACAAACAAACATACAGAGAAGGAGAACAGATTGATGGTTGCCAGAGGGGAAGGAGGTGGGGGAAAGCAAAAGGGGTAAAGAGGCACATACATATGGTGAGGGATGGAAACTAGACTTTTGGTGCTGAACACAATGCCATCTATACAGAAGCCGAAATATAATGACGTACGCGTGAAGTTTACACAATGCTACAAACTAATGTGACCTCAATAAAATAATTTTTAAAAGTCCTATGAATATATCTGTCTTAATATAAAAGTAATATTTATATTATTCACCATTGAGTAAAAGTGAAGTCCTAGAGAGAGTTCCCCGTATTGATCCCATTGCTTCACTGCTCTACCCTCCAAGCAAGATGTGGATAGCCCCACCTGAGACAAGCATGACAAGATCAATTCTCCTCAGGGAGGGTTTCCCACCCCTTCCCAGGACAGCCCATCTGTCCTAACTATGCTAATTGCCGGGTTCCACAGTAGACTCACAAGCTGGAGAGACAGGACCAGTGTCAACAGGTTTCATCGTGCAAACAGATCAACCCACAAGGCTTTCCTGTACTCTCATCAAAGGGAAGGCAGGGGGCGGGGGGAGGAGAATGTTTTGTTAATGGATGTGTATGTGTTCTCTGGTGTAGCTGGCAGCACAGGGACACCTGTGACAGTTAGTCTCCTTTTATCTCTGAAATAACAGCAGCAGAAACTAAAGAGCTGAAGTGAAGTCTTTTTTTTCCCAAATGAACACCAGGGAAGAATATTTTTAACAAAGCTGTATTTAAGATTATTTGCTTTAATGCAAGTCCCGTTTCTTTCAACTTCAACGTGGGAGATCTTCAGCAGCATTCAGATGTTCTCTGCTGTACAAAAAAGAACCCCAGAATTTAGCTGTATTTTTATAATTTTTTATAAATTTTATTTTCATAAACTAGTGATCTTTAGCATACAGTAAACAAAGTAGCATTTAAATAAATCTGAGGTTGAAATAATATTTTAATGGATACATTAACTAAAACATTTCCTCCAAACCCTTAAAGTTAATCAATTGAATTAATGATAAATTAATCACTCAGCTTCAATTCCTAGCAAAGATGATCGTTATTAACTTGTGTTAAACTCATCACCATAAAAAATATTCTACTTCCCCTTCTTTGTTTTTCTTAGGAAAACTGCTCTTGAAGACCACCTGCTATTTAGTGGTTGACATGTTTGGACCAGACATCATAAAACTGTGAGTAATGCCAGCACGTTAATCTGATTCAGTCGCTCGGATGAGTGTGGGGGAAACAGGAAAACTGGGAGGCAATTGGCTCCAGCAGGATTTACTTACTGAACAGGGGCTGCAGCTGTATTCTAGCTCTGCTTAATAGTGGAAAATTCAAACCTGACTTGGTTCCTTTGTTACAATGGGTAAAGGCTCCCCCTGAATTACAAATGTGACAACCTGGCTCAATTTCTCTCCACGAGCCTTCCAGAAGGAACCTCACCACCAAATACCAACAAATGACTGGATTCTATTGGCTGGATGCAGTCATCTGACCCTTTCTCCTGGGCTCCCCAGCATGGCCTAGCCCTTCCCTACTCTGCCTCCTGGGTTCTCAGGCCATGTTCTTCTCTTCTCTCTTCCTGCTTGCGGGTTTCCTGGCCCTCTCCACTTCCCCAGTCCCAGCCCTGTCCCTCAGTATCCTGCACGTGTGCCATGATCATTATCATTATCATTATCTGCCTGTATCCTATCATCTTTTTTCCTTTTTGGAGCTCAGGGGCACTGAATCAGATAAATCATGTTCCTCTTTATGGTACTTTCTGGTGAAGGATCTATACATGGCTTTCTTATATTTATTATTTAGTTAGTTACTTAGTTACTTTGAATAATGTAATTAGCTTCCAAACCCACCACCCAAAATAGAGTCTAGGACCTTGACAAAAACTTACTCTAGCCATGCAGTCCCTTGCTTTCATTCTCATGCTTTTCTCCACCCCAGTAACGAATCCTATGTCTGTCTTTGTCTTGTTGTCCTTTTTCTACAGTTTTATTACATATATGTATATTTTATTATATTAATATAATTTATTATAATTACATAAAATAATATATGATAATATAGTAAATAATTCTCTAAAAATGGTTATAATTAATAGTATATTTATTGTATATATTCCTTTAAAGCATATATTTTTTCATTTTAGTTATTTCTTTACTTTATAGAGAGACTATCACATTGTATATAATCTTTTAGGACCTACCACTTAAATTTATGTCTAAGATTCCTTCACAGAGTGTATCATTGCTGTAGTTGCATTCACTCTGACTGGACAGAATAGTCCATTGTGTCTCTACAAGAGTCTGTTCCTTCACTGTCCCATTGATGGGTGTTTGGGGTGTTTCCTGGTTTTCTCTCTTGTAAACAGTGCTACTACAAACATTCTTACATGGTTCCTCTTTTTTATGCCATTAGCCTCAGAACAGTGAGGCGCAGAGGACAGCATCAAGCCCCACAACAGGATAGGCTAGAGTTGCAGAATTTTAAAGATAAAAGGAACTTAAAATCATTCCGGCCAGAGAGATACTCAGTGCTCCACAGTGCTGTGCATCTGCCTCTGTTAACACTGACCTCACCCTATTATGGTAAATGATTTTTCAGCAGCCCTGGACTGTGAGTGTGTGGAAAGCAGAGACCCTGTCTTCTTAGCTCATACATCTATCACTGCCACCACCTCCCAACTGGACTGCAGGCGTACTCGTTACCCTTCAAGTCCATAATGCACAGCATAGCTGGCCAAATCTCTTTTTAATGCCAAACTCATTATGGCACTCTCTAACATGAAATTCTTCGAAGTCTTCACCCCCTTTTCAGGCTTCCTTAGTCCCATACACAGGGCTCTTTATGAACCGGTCCCTGAGGACATTTCCAGACTCATCTTTGGCTGCTCCATTGCACACCAAACCACTGGAAGTTCTCCCCACACACCAATCCTGCTTCTTTGGACCTCAGCTCCAGGGTCACTTCCTCTGGAAACTTTCCTGACCCTCCTCAGGCTAAGACAGACACTCCCACCACGACCACCACACACAAACACACACACACACACACACACACTCCTAGTATCTGTGCAAACTCCTAGCACAGCACTCACCACATCTGTTTGTAATTTAATTCTCCATTTACTTTTATGAGTTGCTAACTAGATTGAAAGTTTTCTGAGGGCTGGGACTACCTTTCGTTCAACTTTGTAGCTCTAGGTTCTTAGCAAAACACTGAATATGTGGAAAGAAGAAAGGAAAAAAGAGAAGAGAAGGAGAGGGCTTTGAATCTCCAGGGCTGGGTGCAACACTTCAGCATAGAAGGCCTTCCGTAAATGTTTGCTAAATTAATTAATTCTTTTAAAAAACAAAATTCTCTCTACAGATGAGCTATGCCTAGACTGCTCTAAAGAAAATTACTTCAATGTATTAAAACAGGAAAAAAAAAAAAAAACTTTCAGCCTGTTCAATGAATCTGTTTACATACTAGTATGAGCCTGGTGCTCTGGGGAAAATGTCAGCTTGGCCAGAGATGTTCTGCTGGGCCTAGATCAGGGAACTAGTGAGGTAAGAGGAAAAGAGTCTCAGAAGCCAGAGGGCAGTACAAGCAGATACCCACAAGCGGGTGCCAGAGATTAGCCACGAAGCATGATAGGAGTAAAAGAGAAGTGTCCTCTGTTCATTGGGAAACCCTCTGCTATTTGGTAGACAACTGGAGAGTGGTGAGTGCGAGAGCCAGTTAAGCAGAAGCATCAGAGAGAAGACAACAGACACTGTACTAGGTACTGCAGATATGAACTGTATAAGGGACAGTCCTCACCTCAAATAATTACAAGTGGACACGAGGTGCTAAGAAAGAATGGGCCCAGCAAACCACCAAAAGAGGGCCACTTCCTGAGTAGGTGGTGGGGAGGGGAGGAAATTTGTTTCTTTGAGATGACTCAGAGTCATGAGATGACTAATTCTCATTAGTATTGGGTGGGCCACTTTGAAGAAAGACAGATCTGATAAATGATCCCCCTTTGGGGATCCATCCACTATTAGTTTTGTTTGTGCATAATTTTCCAGTTCCAATATTAGCTGTTTGCTGATAGAAATTTCTCCTCTTATGATGTGTTCTTTTTACAGCTTGTTTTAATCAATCACATACAGTTCTGGGTTGATGTAGGCCCTGAAAATGACAACCTCATGTTTTAGTTTTACCTAAATTTCAGGCTTCCATTATTAAATGTGTTTCTTAACCCAGAGGGCATCCCTCCTCATTATTTCACCTCAGTCAATTCTCAATGATTCATGGACTAATTACTCAGCAACTACATTCCCTACCCACAGGATGGTGTTAGGAAGTGGGAAATCTGAGCACTCAGGGGTTCCCCCAGGAATCTGGGTCATTCAGGGAGGGGCTACTTCCAGGAGCAGCCCACTACTAGCCAGTGACCATGTGCTGGGTCTTCCTCTGCCTGCTCCTGACCTCCATTGTCCCATAGCTGCTGTAGCAAACATGATCCTTTCCTTCTGTCTGTCTCATCTTGCCTCCTGATATCTATTTATGCTCCCCTCTAAATCACAAATTATTGTATTCCGAACTTAGGAGCTATCAGAGATGAAGAGAGGCCTAAACTACTAACAGTTTTAGAAGAAAAATGCAAAACAGGATTTATAACAATTATGGTACAGCTTAAGTGTACTTCATTTTTTTTTAGACACCAAAAATACAAAGCAATATGATTGTGCCACACACAAGATGATTACAGGATTTATAGAAATGATTAAATTTATAGTACACTGTAAAGAGTGTGGTCCAGAAATGGGGTCAAAGTATTGAGTTGCATGAGGAAGATCTTTCAATGTTATGAGTGTATCCCTATGACTATATATTAATATATAAAACTTTCTGTATAAGTGATGTCAAAGGTCTAAATTTGAGAGCTTTCATGTGTGAAAGGCCCTCTCCTTGCTCCCTGCCATAGGCTGTTACTCTGCCTGTCTGTTGACTTAAACCTGACCTTGCTCCCTTCTTTTGATTTATGATGGTCATCATCATCATCATTGACTTCATTCTACCATGATCCTAATTAAACTTAATTAGCTCTGCCAAATATGTTGAAGCCTTCCCCTCCCCACATGCCTCACTCCTGCAGCTCTGTACTTGTAAATGTAGTAAAAGGAAACAAATTAAAATGTGACCCTTTTGGTCTTATTTGCTGCACTGGGAAAAAGAAAACAATGTTGGGTGGGAATGGTTATTACCAGTTGGGAGATTTACTAAGGATTTCACAAATTAGGTATAGCCTGGGCCTTCTGTTGCAAGGTTGTTCAAGTGGTCAAGAGCTCACTTGCTACTTTACCACTTCTTTGCATCTTGCACATTCTAGTGGTCTTCCACTTGTCTGGAATTATGAGGCTCAGCATTTTCTATTCTTGTCCAAAGGGGTGCTGCTCACTTTCAGTCTTTTGATCATGAAGCTCTGGTCTTAGAAGACCCTGGAAAGGACACCTCGTGCCCAGTTCCTCTCTCCTTTTCCTCAGTTCAGAGAACACCAGCCTCACCCTTGGACTGAGAGGCCCCCATTTCCATTCCCATATTCAAGTTCACTTACTTGGAAATGTGCACTAGTTTCAGGAGAAAGAGAATAGGTTTTGAACACCATATGATGAGTTGGCTTTGGTGGTCCTGAATTACCACAGATGGAATATTAGCCTTAGGTTAAAAAAAGATTAAGCAGAGCCTTATTTATCATCCTCCTGAGTCTACTAAATACCAGACCCCCATAAGACAGCAGTCATCAGTTACATAAATGACCCATTAAGTTGAGAACAGATGTGTGAAAATAGCCACCCTCTCCTGCTTTACTGACCCTTGGTAGACATTAGTTTGGTAATGGACTTTATCTGTCACAAATAGCTTGTCCCACAGCTTAGAAGACAAGGCCTCCTTTAATACTGTAACTTACCTTCCCTTCCACCTCCTGTGAAGGAACCCCAGGGCCAAGCAGATGACTCTCATGGTGAATTCTTTTTCCTCTTAAATCAGGTGATCACAAAATGTTGAGAAGCCATCTCGCCAGTCACATGGCTAGTCTCGTTCAGCTGAAAAGAGATTTCGGAGCCTGTGGTCCCAGCCTATCTTTTCATGTACTAGTTGATGTGGATTAAGGCTGCCCCAGCCAGAGAAGCCCAAGGTGACCTGGCCTACATGCCAAACTATACGACCCAGTGGACTTTTTTTATGGTATGAATTAGGAGTGCCCCAGGGAGAGAAGCCCGGGGCATCCTCACCTGCATGCCAATCTATATGGCCAGATTCGTATCTAAAGTTATATGACCGCACAATAACCAGACCCCATCTGCAATGAAATCATTTAATGACTTTTTACATCATCTTTTCTTTTTTTCCAGTAAAAATAAGTCACGTACCCATGCCTTATAAAATTAGCCCTAACCCTCAACTCAGGGCAGCAGCAAGAGCTCCGACTGCCCGTGGGTCTTGTCCCCACACACCAGCTCTGCCTGCCCATGGGTCCTGTCCCCATGCCAGCAGGGGCAGCAGCAGGAGCTCTGACTGCCTGTGGGTCTTGTCCCCACACACCAGCTCTGCCTGCCCATGGGACCTGTCCCCATGCCAGCGGGGGCAGCAGAAGCGGCAGCAGCAGGAGCTCTGACTGCCCGTGGGTCCTGTCCCCACGCACCAGCTCTGCCTGCCCATGGGTCCTGTCTCCATGCCAGCGGGGGCAGCAGCAGCTGCTCTGCCTGCCCATGGGCCCTGTCCCCATGCCAGTGGGGGCAGCAGAAGTGGTGGCAGCAGAAGCTCTGACTGCCCATGGGTCCTGTCCCCATGCTATTCCACACTATTCTCTAAATAAAAGAGCACTACTGCCAGATCTTGAGAGTCTAAGAAATCTTTCTTTCGACTCCTCGGCTCACCAATCCCGCATCACTAGTGACCATCAACATGTTTGAAGATCTCTGAGGTGGACCCTCTTTCTCTGATGGGCTTTTCATTAATATGGGGCAGTTCTTTCTGCAGGAAGCTTCATGACATAAACTCTTACTGCCCCTCCCAGCCTTTTTAGTTGGTAATCCAAAGACAAGATTATTAGAGATTTTAAAGATATTTTGATGTTCAGCTTCCATTAAAACTGTTGCTTACATGCACTAAGTGAGAACGGGGTGGGGGGGATGGGTTTTTGTTTTGCTTGCATCTTGTTTTTGTTTTATCTTTCTAACTCTCATCTGCTATTCTGCATGTCTAGGTGTAAAACTCCCTTGACTGAGTGGACAACCTAATGGAGAGTCTGTGGAATGGCTATCAGGGGAATAAAGCAGAAGTGGGAGTGGAGTCAGGGAGTAGATCCAGGCCCTAGTCACAGGGGCAAAGCATTGCCAAGCTAACCAGTGGTTCTCAAGGGTCAGCCCATGTATGGGCTATGACTGCCTTCAGTCAGAAAAAAGACAGAAACAACATGGCCTTGCTTATGAAGAAGGAATAAAAGGAGGAGGAGGGTCAGGGAGAGAAGAAAGGAGTTGGAGTTGGAGTAGTTGCAGAGGTACGCATAATAGTTGGAAGATATGGAGTGAATTTATTATAAAGGAACCTAGAGCATATTGTGGGGGACTGGAATTGGCCACCTCAAGATATGTCTCTTTGGCATGAGGATTTTTTGGGGCTGGTTACTTTTAAAAACTGCAGACAGGAAAGAAACTCTGAAAAGTAGAATTTACTCACCCTTTGTTAAGATACGTTTACATTTGTAAAGGAAATCTCCATCTGTAAAGGTGTCTTCCTCTCCATACCTGGAAGAAGGGGGATGACATTATCTCTAGAAACTCTCATCAATGTGGAAGGCAAGGACTCAAGTCTGCATAATAACCTGACTCTTGTTTACTGTACTTGTCTGGTAATCTTCCATAACTGACTTCCTCTACCCCCAACATCCTCCTTTGTCTTTAGCTGAGGGTGGTATTTAAGCTGAGAACTTCTGCCATTTTGGTGAGTTGCTCAGTTTGCCTGAGCATCTCCCATGTATACATATAAAGCTTTGTTTAATTTTAGCCTGTTATTCTGTCTCATGTGAATTTAATTCATTGTCCAGCCAGAAGGACCCAGAGCGGGTAGAGAAACTGTCTTCCTCCCCTACAATATCACAGAACTCAAGAGCAGGAAAATATCCAGGCTTCAGACAGAGACTGGAAACAGGACTGGGAAGCCATCAAGAACACAGGGGCACGCGCTCCCCAGGCTTCCTCACTGCACACACTGAGTTCTGCCCCATGAACCCCATCCTACAGACTAGCTTTCCAAATGCTCAATCCACATGGCAGGAAATGACATTACAGTCCCAAGTCACTATAGCTCCTATTATTCTGAGAGCAGCCCAGAGTGGATTCAAACTTCTTAACACCAATTCCAAGTTTCCATAAAAGAGAATCTGATTGGACCTACTTGAACAGTAGTCTAATGAGGTACAATTAACTGGCCTAGAAATACGAGACAGTTGCCAGGAACCCACCCCTATGGGTGAAGGGGGACAGTTAAGTGATCATGTGAGCTGGGGAAAAAAACCCAAAAAGTATCTGCTAGAATCTATAACTGTTCTTCCAAGATTAGTCTCCAGATATTACCAACCTATGCCACTGGGTTCTTTCTTTTTGTTGCTTTGCTTCAGTTTGGTTTGGATTTGAATTGGTAATTTACTTAGAAAAATTACTAAAAGTCCATACTTTACTTGTTCCTTCACTTGAAGCAGCACATTATACTCATTCTTCACCATTTAAGAAGAGTTTAGAGGGTGTCAGGTAGAAAATGAATCTGAAAGGTTTGTCTCAGCCCCTGCAAATCTAGACATAAATGAATCGTTTGAAGACCACTATCCTTATACTATCCCCAGGGGAAAGAGTCAACAATATTATATTTTCTTCTACAAGGTAAAGAAATATATTTATTTTAAAGGAAAAGAGATAATTTGGATTATGCCTAAGGAGATAATTTTAGGTGTTTAAGGCAGTATCATACATGATTTTTTTTTCTATAAGGCCCAGCAAACTTTCAAATATTGTTCCCATCAAATTACACCACTGCCCATTTTTCCTTTCCTAATTTTATTTGTGGCTGCTCCTGAAAAGGATCACAGCGCTTGTGTGAGAGGCTGATCCACAGCTCAGTGCTGTTCGTGCCCCTTCCCCACCACTCCAAGGACCTTATTCTAAATGTAGGAGAGAGCAACGTGGTAGGAAATCATTATGATCCAGCAGCTACACGGGCCTGGACTCAAAGGCTGTGCTGCAATGAGTTAAGGGTATTGCAATCCATTCTGGGGATTCACCTTTCTTTGAAATAGCTTCTGTTTCCTAATGCCTGAGAGATCTGAAGTAGCCTTTGTTTTGTCCTGCTTCCTTCCAGGCTTAGCATGGATAAGAATGCTGATGTGGTGTGTCACACCCTGAAGTTTTGTAAACAGGACCCTGGCCAACCATTGTGTCACCTCTACCCCCTCCCCAAGGTGAGTGGGTTTTCACGCTGAATGTCAGATTAAGGTGACATGCCAGCCCTTTGGAAATGTTGTAAAGGGAGGCTCAGCTTTGCTTGCTCAGTGGTTTGGGGACAGGGAAAGACAAGATGACATTTTCAATTACATCATGTGAAATAACATTGCCAAGTTTCAACCTGGATCCCTCCCCGGCCATGCTGCCAAAGAGTGTCTTTGCTGTTTAACTATTATGCACTGTGATCGAGAGCTGGGCTGGCAGTAGGTAGGAAATCTGACCAGCTAAGGAGAGAAGAGTTTTAAATCTCTCTCTACCACTTAAAAATCAAGCAAGTCATTTTTATAGGGCGACCAACTCACCCCAGTTTGCCCATGACTTTCCTGGTATAAGCACTGAAAGTCCCACACCCTGGGAAAACCTGGGCCGTTGGCAACCCTCGTCTGAGCTTTATTGCTCTCACCCAAAAAATGGATATAATAAAATACCTAAAATACCTCCCTCTTTGCTTTTTAGTGGTCTATTACAAATAAAATGCTTAGCATAATACCTGCTACATAAAAGTGTTAATAAAAATGGTAGCTAATATAACTATTATCAATATCATTATTATTCAGAGATGGCTGTTCAGAATAGCCTGCATACATTATATCATGTTGAACAATTTTTAATTGGAACGCAGGCAGAGATAAGGCTGCAATGTTGACACAATTTCCTGCCCACACTCTGAAGGAGAGCATCGTGTTAAACGCAGTTAGGCTTCACAATATTGATTTTCAGAAACTCCCTGTAAAAATTAAATAAAATATAAAATAAAACGTCTATGCCTCCTCTCCCAGAATTGTAGGTTTTCTGTATATAACACAACAAGTTTCTGTTTTATTTGTAATTTCTTTTTTATTCTCATTGAAACAAAGCCAGTTTAACACTTTGTGGCCTAACCAGTGATCCTGATTTTGCTGACTGACAGTATTAAATATTATAAGCCTGTCTCCTTGAGCAGGAAGAAAGAGATGCAAATACCTGGCGTACTTGTGCATTTCATGCTTCCTCGGTCATTGACTAAGCACCGATTAAATTTCCCCTAAGAAGCTGTGGGCTCCACTGGTTTCTAGAAGAGTCAGTTAATTTTAATTAAAGAAAAAAAACTTTTCATGTGCTCAAATAGTATGTGGGTATCGTATCATAATATTCGCCATTTGATAAAGTACGGAAGAATCGTGCCTTTATGTACGAAGGCAAGTGATATGGGTTCTGTGATTTCCTTAAATAACATCATGCTACATATACATCACACCCACAGCTATACATAGTCACAAAATGTTCAACTTTAAACTCTCTCATTTAAAATGACATTCTTTATTTTTACACTCATGGAGTTTATTCTCAAATTATCATTTCCTTATCTTTCCGTCACAACCCCCTTTTCAATTCCCAACTCAGACACATTTCAACCATCCTTTTTGGCTGGGAAAGAGTTGGAAGGTTTCACCCCAGAAATGCTCAGTTTCCACCCCAGCTGGGCTTGCTCCCTGGTCATCTCCCTTCACATTCCCCTACAGATTGCTGTTCTGGACCTTAACCCTCCCCATCAACCCCCCATGGCCAATCTCCCTCTCTACAGATGACCCAGGAAGGAGGGGCAGTGGGAGCTAATGTGGACAGCTTCACTCTCTTCTGCCCCCAAGGTTTCCTTTAATATCAATAACTGACATTTACTGAAAACTCATTGTGCTTACGCTTCATCTTATTAATCCCCCAAATAGCCCTGGGCTGAAGGCACCATTAGGACCCCTTTTTTAAAGTTGAGGAAACTGGGGGTTAAAGAGGTGATGTAACTCGCTGAAGGTCACTCCCTTAGAACAGAACTGAGATTTGCAGACCTGTCATTCTGCTCAGAGAGGTTGGTTTGTCTCTTAATCTTGTGTCAATATTTCTGAAAATCCCCTCAGGGTGATTTCCTCACCCTGATCTTTCCTCACACCAGTCAACTGAAATCCCACCACCAGAAAAAACCATGTTAAAATGTTGGATGTTTTCCTTTTAATTCTTAAATAAGTTATTATATTAATTTCTTTTAGAGTTACGATAATGTTACATACACAGTTTTTCTACCCTACTTTTCCAATGTAGCCACCAATCTGAAGTCTATCACCACAGATTTGTTCGTTTATATGAAGTTCTAGTCTTGAATTTCCCATAAATGGAATCGTACAATATGTCCTTCGTTGTGTCTGGCTTCTTCTGTCTGTGAGATTCATCTGTGTTTTTGTGTGTGACGGTACCATTGCATGAAGCATTCACACAATTATCTTTTGATGTAACTCTCCAACCAAATCTGCTCTTGCTCTCTTTCCAATAAATTTTCCACACTGACGCAGAAATAATTTTCTAGAAGAGAAATATGGTCTTGTTATCCCACCCCAATGCCTTTGCCTGGAAAGCAGTTTCTGCCTTGTCCTTCAACTCGGTGGACTCCTCCTCATCCTTCAGATCTCGGCTTACATGTCACTTCTTCAGGGAAACCACCCCTGACTCCTTTTACATAACCCTCTTGTCAAAGCTCCTGTAGGTTCCTTCATTGAGCTTGCCTTGTTTTAAATGATATACCTGTGTGATTGCCTGTCCCTCTCTCTCTCCCACTAGGCTGTAACCTCCAGGAGGACAGACTCGGTCTTGTTCACCCTGTATACCCAGTGCCTAGGATGATGCCTTATACATAACAAAGAACTATTTGTTGAATGAAGGAATGAAGTGCCACTAGCTTCTCATTTGCATCACTGATGTAAATTCTGATTTTCCTTACTTCATGGCCACAGTAATTTTCCCAATGCGTCCCTCTGATCATATTTATTTCCCCAGCTTATAATCTCCATTGCCTACGCAATGAAGTAAAATTTTTACTTAGCATTTTAAGATTTTCCAAAAGCCTTCCCTGACTTCCCTTCCACTATTATCCTTGTGTGTTCCATGCTGCAGCCAAACAGGAGCAATTGGCTCTCCTCTGAGCCCACGCCAACCTTCCCACCTCTGCACCTTCATTCTTAATCATTCCTTCCACTCAGAATGCCCTGTCAACACCATGCCCATCCTTCCAGCTCATCTCACTGCCACCTTCTCCATAAAATAATTCCTAATCCTCTCCATAAAATCTTAACTCTCCTGTCAACCATCAACACAAAATACCTCTTGGACTACAGTACTACAATGTGCCGGTACTGTTCTAAATGCTTTATATATATTAGTCATTTCATCTTCGGTGGTAAATATTGTTATTGTCCACATGTTATAGATGAGGAAAGTGAGGCACAGAGATGTTAAGATATTAAGTTTACATAGGTTTCCTCATTAGGATGTAAGCCTGTCAGGGCAACAGGTGTGTGTCTTGCCCATCTTTGCTGCCTCCATTATGCCAGGCACGTACTCGGTTTATGGGTAATATACCAGGCCCTGCACTTCACATGCATGATCTCATTTAACTGTGCTCTTGAGGGTGTATTGATTTTACAGATGAGGAAATTGAACTAGGAGAAGTTAAGGGATTTGCCCACGTTACACGGCTAGTAAGTGGCAACAAGGAGATTCAGCCACAGTCTGTTTGTCTGTAAAGCTCAAGTTTTGGCCACTGGGCTCTATGCCTCACTGATACTCCCGGGGTATTGATACTTTCCATGGAACCCCTGCTCCTGGGCCAGCCAATTGCTCACGAGCAGGACTCTCCATCCTCAATGTCTTGCTTTTTACGCATTTCAGATTCCAGCAAAATATAAACAGTGTGATGCAAGCCATTGCCCCTGTGAAATGCACGCTGCCAGGTGGAGGGATGGAGGGGGTCCCTCTGCTCCAGGGAGCTTACAGGCAAAACCAAGCAGTGTAGAACAACAGAGGTCTGGCTTTAGTGGGGCCAAAAGTAAAAGGTGGAATAGCATTTAGGGATCCCAACGAGCCTCCTATTCATCATCCATAATGCAGCTGAAATTCCAGACCCACTTCTTGTCAAACCATCAGCCACATCTCCATACCCTTATCTACCATATGCTAAAAAATCACAAATTCCATCCATAATTAATTGAAGCAAGAAACAATCTACAGTGTTCAACTGGCATCAGGAAAAGGGAGGTGGGGAGAGGAGAACAAGGAAAGGAAAGAAAAGAAAAAACAAAATTACAGACTGCATTGTAAAGACCACCCAGATGGTTTTGTGTTACCTACTTTGGGGGATTATTTATACGATTCCTCCTTTCATTTGCACACAAAACAAGGCATTGCCTGCTGCTGGGGGGTGGGGGGGAGGGGTGTGTGTGTGTGTGTGTGTATGCACATACGCACCCACATGTGCCTAAGCAAGAATCTGACACCACAGCTCTCCAGCTGAAAGTTGAATGTGGTTACTTATGTGTACCTTGTCGCTCTTTAAACCTCTTTTTTAGATCAGAGTGTTACAGGGCACAGCCCCCGCCTGGGCCAGGAGCAGCCTGGAGTCTCCTCAGCTTTATGCTCCTCCCTCCTGGGTCCCCTAACGCTGAAATCCCAGGGCAGACCCTATAGCACTGAACAGACCCCTTCCTAAGCACCCCCGAGCTGGAGGGACAAGCTGCATTTACAAACACCTTACAGGCATACTCAAGGCTTGCTTCACGCAACTTTGATCCACATTAAAAGAGAATTATATTCAGAATGTGTGCTGTAGTGAAGATGGATTCTCCTTATTTCCCTGGGGCCTCCAACTCATTTAAACTGCTGTGAGGGAGACCCGCTGTCTTAGGAAAGCAATCCAGACTTTGAAACAGCTTTTCCCACAGTGCATCTAATTTCTGCAGGAATCAGAAGCTCACCAAGGCTGAGTGTGTGGGAGTGTATGCATGCACAGAGAATTCGTGTTTCCCTGGAATGCAACCCACCAGGAAGCTGACATAAAAGGGTTTAGGAAGGAGTAAGTTTGCACTCTTTTTATGAGAAAATGACACGTGAAAAATTCTTGTTGTTCAACTGAAAATAAACAAGCTAACCTCAAGAA